GTAGCAAATCAGTATTCTTAAAGTGCATTTACGCATATGTGTGTATACTAAAATAAGATTTTGAACTGCTGCAATTACAAATAATTCTATTTATATATATTTCTAAGCATAAAACGATCACTTATTGCATAAATAAAAGTTTTATAAAATAATTTCAAAAGTTATAATTATTCTTCATTTTCCACATACAAATTCTTTGGTTGGGAGTTTTATCGCAAGGATAAATTTCGAAAGTATTTTTTCCTAAATCGTAAGCAATAAAAGCCGCCACCGATTCGCCAACAGCTAGCGAGTGGTGAAACCATGGTTCAATAACTACACGTTGTAGTAATCGTACAAAAACAACATTTACCGTTGGTATGAACTCCTTGTGTCATCAACAGCTTCTTTATATATTCAAATTCGTATGTATTTTTATACCCTGCATACCAGGATTTTAGAGTATTCTGAGGGGTTTCACAATTTTTTTAAGAGTTTTCTTTCAGAAATCGTACAGAAATTTCTTTACTAGGTCTTGTCAACCACTCAACTTAACAACTTGGCGCAAAAATTGAAAATACAGGTTCCGTACGTCATGCGGACTGCACCCCTCGTGCGGATGGGCGGAAATGGAGGGTAGAAACCGTTGGGATTATAATCCCAATAATAATTATTATTGTTATTTATGGCCAGGAATAAGGTCCCTTACTTTGAAGTATCAAAGCTAAATGGATGGACAAAACCTACGATTGTCTAAACAGGCGAAGTATCTGGGAGTCATACTGGATCCTTAGCTAAGTTGGAATCGAAATATTGGAGAGAGAGTAAAGAAAGCGAGCATTGCCTATTACTCCTGTAAGCAGCGTTTTGAGAAGACATGGGACCAAAATCCAAAAGTGGCACTCTGAAAGTACACAGCGGTTGTACGTCCGATCTTATGCTACGGTTCTCTGGTATGGTGGACACTCTTAAAGAACCAGTATAATCATGTGAAACTTAGTAGAGTTCAGAGTGCTGCATACATCGGAACCACAGGGGCAATGAGAACTTGCCCTGCAGACGTTCGCAATGTTATTACAAACCCATTTCCTATAGGCCTTCACATAATGCACACGGCATCACTATCGTATATAAGACTAAAAGAACTGGGCATGTGAAAGGAAAGAGCGGTCGGGCATAGCAGTATAATTTCTCGATTGCCACCTTAGATGAGACTGGCTACCGATTAAATACGACCTCATCATCATCAGCGTCATTTTCTCAGATAGTCAGGCGGCCATTAAGGCCTTGACGTCTTTTACAACGAGGTAGAGGCTAAAAAAGGAGTGTAGGAAGCTTTCAAATTCAGTTAGTAGTCAGCTCGACCTAGATTTAGTTTGGATCCCTGGTCATCGCAACATTCCAGGAACGAGGCTGCAGACGAGTTAACCAGAGCGGCTTCCACATTGGTTTCAATTCTTATTCGCATCTTATGCCGAGACATCTTTCAAACTCATGTGCCCATGCACAATCTTAAGAGAGCACACTAATATGCGTACATATTATAGATTAGTAGTGAACCAGCATTGCGTTAAAACGCCCAAAATTAAATTTAGAAAACCTAAAAAAATATTCCAAATATTCCCTAACGGAAGCAAGTGATTTTCTTTTAAATCAACTTTAAAACAAATGCAATGAGTAAATGTTTCGAATTTCGATACTTTTTTTACTCAAACAAACAATTTGTGTCTTGGAAGTATGAAAAAGCATCTGTGAGGTGCAGAACGCAAGCGTTTTCAAAAGAAACATAATAACTTTGAAGTTGTTTAAACGCAATTCATTTTAAAGTAGTTGAAATTAAATGCAGAGTCGGACAGTTGATTTGCTGCTTGCACAAAATTCAAACTGAACATTTGAAAACACATTTACATGTATGGCTGGAGCTGAGCGTGCAAAAATGTTTGCTACAATTGGTTGCGGCCATGAGTGTTCATGTTCAAATCTCATTTGGCGAAACATTTAATTTAAAATTTTTTATTTCGAGTTTTGTTAATTATGAAAAAGCTGAAGGGCTGAACGAAAGCGAATGCAAACGACTGACCTTAAAGTTTTTTAATCCAAATACATTTTAAATTAGTTGAAAATACATGCTGGAAAAGGTAATTGAATGCTTCCTAGGACATCGCCATGTTAAACAAATGAGTTCGTTGCAGGTAAAATATTGAGAATTTCAATTAGTTATCATTGAAAATAAAATCGTTTATAAATTACATTTAAATTGACTAAGTTTCCTGCAGGGAAACGATCAAAGTGCCATATTTCATTTAAATCCGTGAACCCGTTTTTCAGTTAAGAGAGGTCTCAGTTAGTGC